TACAATATATTCTCCTTGAAAAACATACTAATTTATGAACTTGATATTCAAGTCAGTGTATGCCAAATCTATTTTGTACTCCTCTGTCCTCCCATTGGGTTTCTGAGGAAAGAAGAGAACACATTGAGTTGTATTTATAATTCTTAATCTTTTTAAGTAAGTGTTTAAATTATATACTTGAGTGTATATTTTAGAGTTGAGTTTCTTACCTCTACTTGACATCCCCCATTGTATATGCTGTCTCTTTTTATATTTAACTATACATGAAATCATGGGGAGTCTTCCTATCTTTAAGAAGATTTTTTAATTTGATTCATCTTTAGTGTTGAAGAGACTGAAAAGTAGTGGGTTTGATGACAAAATTTTAGAAAATATGACAACTCAGGAAACAGCTTATTTTTTCTCTCACACAACCTATTTGGAGTTAGAAGTAACCTCTCTTGAAGTATGTAGCCATTATTTCTTTGCTTTTGAAAATACTATTGTCAACAATTATGTCTTCTTAAACAAAATAGTCCTGTTTTTCCTGACTTTGAACTTTATATATAAATGGGAACATACATTTATATTCCTCTATAACATGATATTTTTTGTTAAAATTATTGTTGTGAAATTAATTCATATGATTTTGGGCAGATATAAATCAACAGGAAAAATATACAATCCAATAAGAAGTTAAAAATAGAGTTAGCAAAAACTTCAAAGAAGAAGAAATTCAAAAGGCCAAAATTATACTAAAAAGTATATACAACCTCATTAGTAATCATGAGCATACAAATGAAAACCACTAAATAATACCACCATAGAGCTGCCATAGTGGAAAAAAAAATAAGAGTGATAACTCCATGTGTTGATGACAATGAAAAACAGTAAGGTTTTTCATATATTGCAGGGGATACAAAATTTAGTGCCACCACTTGGGAAAACCCCACTGAGACAATGCTGTCCAATAAATATACCAACAATGCCTTTCTAACCTCTACAATATGGAAACACTGACACAAATCAGAATTCTTGCACAAGAATGTATATAGCAGCATTATTCAGATGCTCCAATCTGGATGGAACTGGATAAGTCAGTTGCATGAGACTCATACAATGGAGTACTGTAACAGCAACAAAATAAACACAGTGACATTCAGTTTATATTTCAGTGAATCAACTTAATATCATCCATTTTATCAGTTTTTGGCCATGTCTAGTGACATTTTGGCACTTTGCTTGAACTTAGATAATTTATAAAATTGTTTCATTTTGCATGTTGCAAACCTGAGAGCTCACCATATTTATGCTCTCTTCTTGTTGAAAACCTTTATGGTGTGTGGCATTTTTATTTTTAGCTTGAAGAACAAACTGAAGTAAAAAAGGTCCACTGGCCCCTTAAAAGGTCAGCACAATGTACTTTTGCCTGTCATACGCTGTGACCCCTTACTTTTGAATAAGATTGTTGGGAATTCCAGCAAACAGAATGCAGCAGAGATCAAGATAGCAGGAAGAATACAACAGAAAGAAAAAATGGCATTGGTGTTTTATTTTGGCATCATTTTGAGAATCTATACCTAGGAACATCTAAGAATAACTTGTTTTTTTAAAAATTTGTGATAGTGTATAAAAGCTGGTGAATGGATTATGCAATCTTAGGCCATTTTTTTTTTTAAATCATGAAGAACTGAGGAAGGGTGAGGAGAAATTAAGTACTCCATCCCATCCCCTCAAACTTTTGGTGGTGCACTCTAGTGAGCATTCTACATCTGGTTTAGACTTAGGCGGTTTCATTCCAAGTTTATGGAAAGCAATCTGATATTAAACTACAGATCCACTTAGCATCCATCTACAACTGCTCAAACAGCAGTGTGTATTTTCAGGGAAGCTTTTATGTAACGAGGCACTGCAGGTCTGGCAAAGTTCGACACAGTGCTTCCTCAAGTCAGTTCTAACCTATCAGCAGTGGGCTAGCAGGAGCTACCATTTGCTCACCTGCTTTTGATAGCATTTGCTAAGTTTCACAGGCATAAGTGCCAGACTTAAATGGCAGCATACCAGGATTATAGGTACATTGGAGACTTTGAATTATTTTCCAAGGGAGAATTTGGCTTTTACACTCAAGCATCCTTTTGCTTCCAGGTATAAAATCACTACAGCACAGAGTAAATGTGGCATAGTATCTTCTGGAGGGATCCAGAATATTAAATGAATATTCATGAAAGTGTCTTTTAGGAGACAGTCCAAAGACTGCCAGGGTTTATTCCTTCTACTTTGGTTGATCTAAGGTATGCTCTACTGTCTGTTGGACTGAGTCATCTGTAACTCATCTGGAATGGAAAGTTTAGTGCTCTCCTTCTAGAATAGAGAGTTTAACCTCTCCTTATATAGTCTTATCCTGATTCCTGTTGGATAAGCCTCCTGCCATCTGGACCAAACTTATGTAGATCCTGAATGCATGACCAATATTGTACTTAGGACCAGTGGGCCTTAGTCATTCCAATTTGTAAAATGAAGGAACTAGGCAAAATGGCCCTTGTATCTAAATTGACTAATGTTGACCTGAATTTGTCTTTGGACATGATATCCTCTACTCTTTTCTCTTGCCAAGTTAGCTTCTTTCATTCAGGTTGTAACCTATTCGCCTAGCAAATACCCTACGTAATATTCTGCCTAATCCCAGTTAACACCATCATTTCGTGAAGGTCCAGTTAGCCTTCCACCTGAAGGCAACTATACTGAACATTAACAAAGACAGTTAACATGGACACCTGTTTAAAACACTACTTTATACAATTTTTAAAATTAGAAGTTCTTAACTTTAGGTCCATGGATTCTGAAATTTGTGTGTGTGTGGTATGTGTATGCTTGCACTCTCAATTTGTATATGAAAAGAGGGTAAATGCTTTTTAATCAGTTTTTTTTAAATTCAGTAATTTCAGGACATCTGATTTGAAGTATGAGTTTCTTGTATATTAGAAAACCATAAACTTAGGCAAATTTTCTAAATGCAGGCAACATATTATATATATTGAGCATTCAGGTATGTATGTACAGCAAACATCTTCCTTCTTTCTTCTGAAGCTTCAATATCTGAACTTTAATGCAGGGCATCACAAGTGAATACTTCCATGATTGCATTGATTTTTCATCAGAGTTTATTTCTTTTTTTTTTTTAAAGATTTATTTATTTATACAAGCACTGGGTACAGTCAGAAGCGTGGGAGGGTGAGAGAATTCACCAGAGCCAGAGCGGGGAGCAGAGCAGACAGACTGACAAAATACACTGCTGAGGGGAGCAGCGGGCGTGGCAGGAGAGGTCTCCACGCCATGTGGGACCTTTGCCCGGAGGTGGCCAGGGATCTAACCGGCGCTGCAGAGGCTGCGGGCAGCTTCGCAACCCAGTGCTCAACCGCTGCGCCACCGGGGAGGCCCCAGTGTTTATTTCTATATCCACTTCTTTCCCCTCCCCTTCCCTGCCCTTTCTCCCATTTCTTTTCTTTTCTTCTTTGTCCTTGTCCTCTTCTTTTTCTCTTCCTTTTCTCCCTCCTTCCTCTCCAGTTTTCTTCTCTATTTTTCTATTGTCAAATAGTTTTAGGACAGAAATAATATTACTTCACCATTGTATTTTCAGCTCATAGGAGAGTTTCTAGAATATGGTAGTTACCCAGTGAGGACTTACTGGATGACTATATTAATGAAGCATCCAGAACTGATAGTTTCCTTATTCTTTCCATGACAGGCAGTCAGGTTGGCTCTAGGAAAGGAGAAAATGCTCTCAAGAAGAGTTCTGGGTTATGTGTGGTCAAAAAAGCAAGATTTACTAAAAATAGCATATTTTTCCAAGCATGAGAATGGGTTGTGTCTCTTGTGGCAACCCATTTCCAAGATGGCCTCTAGTGATCACTACCTGGTACTCCCACCCTTTGTAGACTTATTGTACCAGGGTTGGTTTCTGTGACCAATAGCAGAAATGATGGTATATCACTTCCATGATTAAGCTATAAAACAGTACAGCTTCTGTCTAAATCAGAATGGGATGTCTAAATCAATCAATAAATCTCTCTCCCTCTCTCTCCCTCTCTTTCCCTCCCTCTCTCTTTCTCTCTCTCTTTCCCTCTCTCTCATCACTACTTCCTCTGAAGAAAGCCATGACAGGAACAACTCTATAGAGAGACCCACACACATGTTTAGGGACAGAAGCAGCATGTCAGCCGTTGTGTCAATGAGATAGGATGCTCCAGACCCAGGCAAACTTTGGATGAAGCAACTCCGCTAACATCTGGATTATAACCTCAGGAGAGACCTGAGTCAGAATCAGTCAACAGACCCATTCCTAGATTGTTGACCAGAGCTATGAGATGATAAAACATGTGTATTTATAAGCCACTAAGTTTGGAGTTGTGTACTAGATAGCAAAGGAGAGCTAATGCAGTTGTTAAATAATACCTTTGGGTGATGGTAGACAGAGTTAATGAGTGTCAATTCTTCAGTGAAACTGGAGTACCTATGAACTTTTTGTCTTGTTGATTAATACCCAGGTTGGAACAGACACAGGTTATGACCTTGAGGAGATATCTTTCTTCTTTGGGGTTCCTTTATATCATATGTATACTGGCACTATGTAATTTTTCTATTTGAAATTGAGCAAGTTCTGTAACTTCTAATGGTGTCAGCGTCAAATTGTTCCTAGGAAGAACATTTCTTTTCCTCTAATTAACCTCAGATACATTAACTTACCACTAACATAGAATCTATTCCATTTATAATCTAAGACATTAAGCTCCTCAAAGGCAGGACTATCTCATGTACTCTTTTCACTCCTTTTCTAGTATGGTAATTGATGCCTGTGTAATTTAATGATGATAAGTTGAAAATCTGAATTACTGGGAAAGAGGAACGTCTTCTGCAATGGGTAATGCATCCACTGAAACTGACTCTGAATCCTAAGTCCAAGCTAATGTGCTTTGAGAACTTCTGTTTAAGACTATAATAAATTTTGCTGATATTCTTGACAGGCTGAACCATCCTACTTAGGACAAAGGATGAAGAAAAGAAGCAGGGGAAGAAAAGGAAATTGGAACCATGTTGATCATACACTTGTGAGTCTGAGTGGCTTGATTCTTCATCCTGTTTCTATTTATGTCTGTGTCTGTATCTGAGTTTCTATCTAGATATGGACATCTAGTTTATCCTTAGATAGGTCATCTATTTATGATATCATTACTTTAATTGAAGGAGATTTCTTCTAATCTTCAATAGGCGATCTCTGTTCCATGGATATCTGTTAATGGCTATGTTTTGGAAGACTTTACCAGAGTGAAGCATCCATCTCCTACTTACAGATAAACAAATCAAAATGAACATAACTAGCAACATCATTTTTTTAAACTTGAAAAGTCTTATCAATAAATGATATTGTTGTCATGGATTGTGTGCAGTGTAAATGCGTTTTCTGCCAGCTATACATTAGAGGCTCACAAGGGCAAGGGAAATTGAAACTGTCTTTCTAATGGATCATAAATCTTGGAAATGATTTGAATTCATGGATTAAGTGTCAGCTTTGAAAGCATTTGCTGATTTATCTTGGATCTTAAAAGAAAGAACATTTCTATGACAAATCAAATTAGTGCATTTTCATAGTCTGCATTGTAGTTTTCCAGGATAATATTCTTCAAAGAAATAATGTGGTATGTAGATAAATTTTTCATTTTAGAAGATTATTAAGTCCTCTGCTAATTAGAAAACTCTTGGAGATTAAGAATAGAAAGGCAAGTATTATATTAGAATGTGGGGATTATGATTAAAAATAGTGAATGGTGCCTTAGAAATAACAGATTGAAGCAGTAAATGGCCCAGTCAGCTGCATCAGTGTGACTGGGGTAAATTCCAAGCTCCTCCGTTAGTTCCTTTATGCTTCTCCTCTACTTACCACTCCTAAGAAGGTAAGTGTGGCTACTTTCCTGACTTAGTATGACTTTGTCAACTTCAATGTGTCTCTCCTTGCTTAATTTAAATTAAAAACATTTTACAAGAGCAAGCAGTTTCCCTTATGGGTCAGGGAATTGTTTCAGGTGCTGCTTCTCATCCTTTAATCAGAAATTGTTAACTCTCTGAGTCTGATCTCTGTTTGCTGAACATTTTTTTTTTAAGATTTGTTTATTTATTTATACAAGAACCGGGGTACAAGCCAGATTCGCAGGAGGGTGAGAGGATTCACCAGAGACAGCGGGGAACAGAACAGGCAGACTGACGAAATACATTGCTGAGGGGAGCAGTGGGTGTGACAGGAGAGGTCTGCTGCATCATGTGGGACCCTCTCCTGCCGGCTGGGATCAAACTGGCGCTGCAGAGGCTGTGGACAGCTTCACAGCGCGGTGCTCAACTGCCTGCGCCACCAGGGGAGGCCCTGAACATTTTTATACTATTCTTCTCCATGGATGGTTTCTGAAATGTTTTAGTTGTTGATCAAACTGTATTCTAGGATTTTCAGTTTTTGCCCTCCTGACTCCTACCTTGCAACTTAAGGAAAAACAATGCTCTATCCCTGCCTGACACTTAGACACTTTTGTCTTAGCCAGAGCCCAGTGCTCCTTTCTTCAGCTTGAATGAGAGGACAGAATGAGCTCATTGGGTTTGTTCCATGGCCAGATGTCCATGGTGCCATTTTCAGAAGATGTAGGGCATGATACATACTTCCTCCTATAGTTAAAATTTTACTGGAAGTCTAAGTCTTCAAGTTGGTTTAGGCTCATGAAGCTGGATGCTCTGTAGGGTTTTAAAGAAAAGAAGTGGATTGTCTCAAAAATTGGTTGTAAAATATCACATTGAGCTACATGGTATTTTGGTCACCTTTCATGGTTAATGGGGTCTGTCTAATCAGCTCTCTACCTCTTGGTAGAATGCTTCAACTTGGGTATTCCCAGAGGCAGTGGATTCTACTGCTTTGTAAGACCGTCTTAATCTGTCTAGTACATTTAAACTTTCACATACATGATCACTTGATTTTAGTTTTCTACCTACCACTGCATAGAGGGGCATAGTATTGTTCTCCATCTTCTTCACTCCAGAATGGCACAGCTGTGTCAGGTGTATAACTGGTGGCTCAATCTTTTTTAGTGGAGGTGGTGGGGTGGGGAGTTTGGATTATATAGAAGTTGATGTTTGAGTTTATTTCCTAATCTTCAGAAAACTGTAGATTACCTCTTTGGTTCACTTGAAGAATAGATCATCATGAGTCAATTTCTTTGTATGTGTCATTACCATATCAATTATTTGACATTTTATCAATAAGAACTCTTTATTCACTAGCATTTATCTTCTACTGGGGTGCAAGTTGCCTGAGTTTCAAATCATTTCTTGCATCTATCTTCTTCTTCTCTAGTATCTCTGCATCTCTATCACTGCTATTTTCATTCAAAACAATTTTGAACACCTACTGTATCACAGGCACCATTCTAGATTTTGCTATTCACACAGTCACAAAACTGACTGAGCCACTGCCAGCAAAGTGCTTACACTTCAGTAACAACTGTGACTCCTTAAACTCATTCAATGTAATTCCTGTGCCTGTTTCTTTCCTCTTGTCTGTCTTGACCTAAATATTGTTTCAATTTCAGGAATTTACTGGAAACTTTACCCTCTACTTAGAGCTTCTATGAAATTGTCACTCTTCCACCAGCCTGGTTCAGTCACAAAAGATAGTAAATTTAGTTTACTGTATATGCAACCAGATACAGTTTATCAATTTGCTCTCAGCACAACAGAGAAATGATAATTATGTGATGTGATAGAGTTGTTAAGCTAACACTGAGGTCATACGCACATTGCAATGTAGATGTGTATCAAATCAACATGTACATCTTACACTTATACAATGTCATATATTAACTGTATGTCAATGTTTATCAGTTTGAGACAGATTTATTTATTTATTTTAAAGGTTAACAAAAGGTTTATTTACAAGGGAGGGGGAATAAGGAAATGTACAACTCAGGGAGAAAAGAGGGAGATAAATTCTTAAATGTGTCCTCCCATTCCGCTGACCTGGAATCCCAAATGACCCGCCAAGACCAAACCTGCCTGGCCAAGAGCACGAGCTAAGTGTGCTCAGCTCCACTGACATGAATAGTTTTTATTTACAAACAGAGAAAATGGCTGCTTAACTCTGCCCTGAGGTCCTTTTTTTTTTTTAATAAAGAGGCATGTGTTTTTATTTATTTATTCGTTTGTTTTGTTTATACATGCACTGGGTACAGTCAGAAGTGCAGGAAGGTGAGAAAATTCACCAGAGCCAGAGCGGGGAGCAGAGCAGGCAGAAGGAGCGAGGTACACTGCTGAGGGGAGCAGCGGGCGGCAGGAGAAGTCTGCGCACCATGTGGGACCCTCATCCGGTGGCCGGGGAGCAGCCAGGGATCGAACCGGTGCCTCAGAGGCCGCGGGCAGCTTCGCAACCCAGTGCTCAACCGCTGCGCCACCAGGGAGGCCCTGCCCTGAGGTCCTTGCAACTTCCCTTTGGGAATCCTGGGATTTGCAGTTCCCGTTGTCTTGATGGAGTGGGGGTGGCATCCACAAAGCCCGTATGGAATTAGCTCAGTACATCCTTTCCCCTTAACAATTCCCCCCTTTCACTTTTTGCCACCATTTCCATGGTGATAAAGATCAAATGTATGGATGCTGGGGTACAGTGAGACAGACTTTCTTGATAGAGGCAGAATAATATGGAAAATGATAATGAAGCTCTTTGGTATTACTAGTTCTGTACCTCAGCTATTTTATGCATTAAAAATATTTGTTTGGGTTGTCTGGACCCTAGGTGCTATTTATTATAAAAGTATCTTTGTTTTCCAACCAGAAATTTTACAGATTGTTGGAAGTCAAGATTGTCAGTTGTAAGTTTCTTGTGCGGTCATTCAAGTGATGATGACCTTGAGGCTCTTTAAGATTCAGAAATGGTCTCTGAATTAACAAGGAATGATGATCTGTTATTTAATCTATTTTTAGAATTATCTTTCCATATTCTATTTCTTTGAAGAGTGATAATCTACTATACAAGGTATATATAACTTAATTCACCTCTCCATTCCCCAATAAAACCTCTATCATTTGACCAGATGAGATAACAAAAAGTTTACTATACTCAGGAGCCTCTTTTGGTGAAACAGAAACCTATGATTCTAGGTTATCTTTGAAACTTGGGAAAAGTAATAGAGATGAATTGTTTCATCTCTCTGACCAAACAGCCTCTCAAGAAAAAAAAGCATTTTTTTGAAAGACGAGATAAAATGGTGTCTGGTGAGTCATGATTTCAGGTTAGTGCAAGCTCAAAGCACCCAGGAGGGCTTACTCTCTGTGTCTCAATTAGCAGCACATGTTCTTGGGACTCCTTTAGTTCCTGAGGTGGCTCAGTGATCTGTTACCTAATCTGTCCTGTGGCCTTATAGCGACACACAGACAGGAAGAGACAGTACAGGAATAGGTACAACCAGTTTAAGGGAGGTACCCTGGACATGATGGAAAGCTTCTACCTCCTTAGCCACTCCTGTCTTTCCATTTTTCTTTGTGTTTAGATTATGGGAATGTATGCAGAGAATATTTTTTAGGGGGATTATGGACTGGATGAATGACTACAGGTTCAACTTCAAGAACAGTTTTGATAAGCTTTCTCTGGCAAAGGTTTTGAAGAGAAAACCCAAAAAGGTAGGGACTGGCAAGGGCTGCTATTCCTTTGACCTAGCCTATTGTTTATTCTCTTTCTTTTTGCAGGCTCCCATCTGGTGTGTAGTCTGAAACATAAAGTTTCAGATATTCTGCTAGGGTGTTTTAATGTGGTCATTAGGTTTGGATGAGAGGAGCTATACTTGTTATATAGAAGTATGAAATCTGGAGTCAGGTTCTGAGCAATTTCACATTTAAAAATTTATCCTAAGGAAATAATGCTGATAAAGATTAAGACTTATATGTCAATCTCAAGGAATTCTACCAGGGGCAAAAATAGAGTGCAGTGATTATTTCCTCTGCTTGAACTGAAATGTTTAAGTTCAAATCCTAGCTCTCCAACTTACTGGATGTGTGTGACCTTGGAAAAATTATTGAACTTTTT